GGGTGTGAGTGGAGACAGGGTGTCACTGTTGCTCAGGCTAGAGTGCAGTAGCATCACTGTAGCTTCAAAGCTTACTGCAACTTCAGTCTCCTAAGCTCAAGTGATCCTCTCTTAGCCTCCCGAGTAGCTGGGCTTTCAGGCATAAATATATGCACCACTACACCCAGTTAATTTTTTTTATTTATTCTCAGATTCTTGAATGAAAACACTAAGTCAGACTAAACAGGCAAAAGTTAATCATTACATTGAAAATATGAACCAGGAGCTGTTTTTACAGACCAACAATTACATTTAATAGTCTGATTTTAGATGTGGCAAAACACTGCCAAGTAGTCCTTTATAAACAGAATAAATTTATATTTAATGTGTTACTTACGAAGTATACTGTAATATTATTTTGAAGTATGGTTAAAAGCTTTAATTCTAACACTCTAAAGCTTTCAGTTTTAGGGATAGAACATTTTTTGTATGTAATGTATAGAGACACCAACCTCAGAATAGCTATCTTCCACGCCAGCCACCCCCAACCTTTTTGGCACCAGGGATTGATTTCATGGAAGACAGCTTTCACGAAACAGGGGGAGGGAGTGGTTCCAGGATGATTCAAGCACATTACATTTATTGTGTACTTTATTTCCATTATTATTACACTGCAATATATAAGGAAATAGTTACACAAGTCACCATCATGCAGAATCAGTGACAGCCCTGGGCTTGTTTTCCTGCAACTAGATAGTCCCATTTGGGGGGATGGGAGACAGTGACAGACGAAGCTTTACTCACCTGCTACTCACCTGTTGTGCAGCCTTATTCCTAACAGGCCAGGACTGGTACTGCTCCACAGCACAGGGGTTGGGGACCGCAGTTCCAAATTAATCTTTCAGGTCTCAACTTAAATCTTTCCCTTGGGAAGATATTCCCTGCCTCACCAGTCTAGGTTAGATACTATACCTTTGTGTGTTCCTGTGCCCCCCAATCTCACGGCATTCTTCACACATTTTTGTAATTCTTAGTTGACTACTGCCTTTCTTACTGACCATTAAGCTCCTTGATTACATGTGTCCTTTCTGTCTTTTTCACCACAGTACTCCTGCTTCCTAGCACAAAGTATAGGCACTTTGTTGAGTGAATGAATGTCTGAATTACATGGAATTTTGAGTTAGTAGGATACTAATTAAAGGATCTTCATTTACTCACCAGAGTGAGTCTTTTGGGTTTGCTTTAAATCTTGTCTTTTTTGTCTTTGTTCCAGGGCAGAAATAATATGTTTCATACGCTGTTAATGTTTCTCTACATCATAAAGACCAAAGAGTCAGGAATGCTCGGGTAGGTATTTATGCTTCAAAAACATAAATGATTGTATATGATATATTAAATTATTTTCTTCTTATATTAAGATTCTTCAGGAGGCAGCCTATAACTAAAAAGATTTATGGACTCAATAACAATAGACATGGCTTCTAGTATAACTTGGCCCTGTCACTAACTAGCTCTGCTATCTTGGGCAAGTCCATTAAGTCCTTAGAACTTCTATATCCCTCTTGGTAAAAGGCAAATAGACCACATCATTGGCTTTTTTTCAGGCTGTTCTATTTCAGACACAAAACATTCTACAAAATGGTTATACTTCCAGAAAGACTTAGTCAATATCCATTCCATAATATTGTTAAATGGGATAGAAAAGTAATCAGTTGAAATTGTTTGCACACTTGGTAATAAAGTTCACATATTCCAGCCAGGTGCAGCAGCTCAGAAGTTGAAGACCAGCCTGAGCAAAAGTGAGACACATACACACCCCTACTAAAAATAGAAAAACTAGCTGGGCATTGTAGTGTAATCCCAGCTACTCAGGAGTCTGACGCTGGGGGATCACTTGGACCAAAGAGTTTGAGGTTGCTGTGAACTGGAACACCACAGCATTGTGCCCACGGCACAGGGTGAAACTCTTGTCTCCAAAAAAAAAAAAAGCTCACTTATTATAACATTCAAAATTGTGGGAAGACATTTGATGATATAAAATTTTAGCATGTCAAATAACATTTGAAATAAGTAGACCCCAACTAAAGCTAGGAAAATCTGGTAATGCCTGGTATGGGAATCTGAAAACCTGAATTCTGGGTTCAGCTCTGCCATACAGAGTAACCTAAGGTGCGTAAGATGTAAAGGGAAAGACTTGAGTGGAAGGGACCTGTGGTTAATTCCTCTTCTGATATGTATGCCTCTTTTAAGTTTGGGTATCTTCTGTGTAATTTAGAAATACATGTTCTATAGTTGTATTGTGCTGTCTAGCACAGTAGCCACCAACCACAAGTGACATTGAGCTTAATGTAACATGACTAATCTGAAGTGAGATGCACAAAAGAGTAAAATATCTACCGGAATTCAAGGACAATAATGCAAAAAGTGTAAAATATTTTCTTAATAATTATGTAAATTGGTCACATACCAAAATACTATTTTGGATATACTGGAGTCATGAAATATATTCTTAAAATTAATTTTACTTATTTCTTTTTGACTTTTTTTTTTTTTTTTGCAGTTTTTGGCCAGGGCTAGGTTTGAACCCACCACCTCTGGTATATGGGGCCGGGGCCTTACTCCCTGAGCCACAGGCACCACCCTCTTTTTGACTTTTTTAGGTGTCTGTTAGAAGATTTAAAATTATGCATGTGGCTCGTATTTGTAATGTCACTCTATTTCTATTGGCCATTGCTGCTCTAGGGAAACGAAATCTTCTGTCCTTAAATATATGCATATTAGAGCTAAAGATTAAAACAGATATGAACAAAAATTTGTATTGTAAACAAATAGAAACATTTTTCAGCTTTTTCTTTTTTTTGAGACAGTGTGTCACTCCGTTGCCTCCACTAGAGTGCTATGGCCTCAGCCTAGTGCACTGCACCCTCAAACTCCTGGGTTCAAGCAGTCCTCCCAGAGTGCTAGGATTATAGGTGTGAGCCACCATGCCCAGCATACTTTTTAAATTTAGTTGACTCTTGCTTCAGTCTTACTAAAATTATTTTGTTAGCTCTATTACCTAGTGGAGTAATTCTTGAAGTTTACTAAAAAGTTAATTTTCAAAGCTTCGTATCTAGATTTGGGTTTTGAGCACAGTGAAGAAAGTAATTACTATTATTATTAATAGAATTCACCTAATAAACTGTGTGTGGCTTATTCATTGCAGAAGTACATTAAATGTCATCAATTAAATATGTATTACTTGAAAAGATTCTTATTTCAGTTATTAGAAAATGACTTAAAATGCTTGGAAAACAACTCTATTAAAACTTTTTTCCCTTCCTCTTTTTAGGAGAGTTAATCTTGGTCTGTCTGGCGTGAATATTTTGTGGATTTTTGGCGAATAGTGGGTCATTTAATTCCAAACATTTGGACTTTTGTTTCACTGAATGAGAAGTTGAATCTAAGCAACTCTGAGTCATTTATTTCTATGAAATAAGATACACATGTGTATATCTTACAGACTCTTCAGATTTAACGACAAAATGGCTATTATGAATCTCCTTTGCAAATGGGTACTGTATCTTCTACACCAAGAGAAGATTTTCCAGCTTCAATTTTCCAGCACGTTTCAGAAATGTCAGTTTACTTTAGGTTTTTATTGACCCAAATCAGTGCCATTCCTTCTTAGAGTCCTTTTTCATTGTATCCCTCAACAGAGAGTCATCTACCTGACTCCTCCACCACAAAAAGTGTTTTTTTACCTCATGTTATGTAGTAGTGTGAAGTACTTAGAAAGAAAATTGCTTAGTTTTTTTTTTTACTCTATTTCCCCAGTGTTCTGTAAGTCAGCCCAAAGGCCATATTGAAAGAAATGAGGCTAACTCCTAAGTAATATATTAAGTTCATGGATGTTTATAAATGTTACTAAAGAAGCTTGACAGTGTGGGCATTTGAGAAGTCAACTCTTAGATTAAATTTAGCTGGTAGAATTAATCTATTTGGGTTTTAGGTAAGAGTCTGAGGCTATGAAGAGAACGTTTTACTGCTTCAATTTTAGCAACTCAGTTTCACTGTTTTATGATACTGTGTTATTTTTAGAGTTCCCTTTACGATCATAGTGATATCCATTTAAATTTTTTAGATATATTCAAAATATCTGAAGAGTGAGAAGTTAACAAATTTGTAAGTTTCACTTGCCTCTCTGCCTTTATTTTCTGTATATGTGTATAGTAGCCAGAATTACATACATTTTCTTGATCAACATACTAGAGACTGCTTTCATCACCTCATGAAAAGCTGGAAACAGCTAAAACCAGTATCTTCTGAAAAAGTGCACGTCGGTATTATATATGCATCCCATTTTGTGTAATTTATAAGTTCCATTGTTCAAAAAGTTCTTCTGTTTTTAAAAGTTGATGTCCAAAGGAAAGCCACTCCCTATCTCTTAACTGCTTTTGGTATATGCTAAATGTATTTGCTGTTATGTTTTGGGGAAAAAAAAATCTGTTATTTCAAAAGTTATTGAGATGTCATGGAGTAACAATTGCTATACTGTTAAACTGGTGTACAGCTGCATATACTTTATTAAAAGCATCCTGAAGAAAACAGTATTTAAGACACATAGTATTTTTTGCTTTATAGGACTTCAGATACTTTTTTTTTTGGAGACAGAGTCTCAAGCTGTCACCCTGGGTAGAGTGCCATGGTGTCACAGCTCACAACAGCCTCAAAGTCTTGGGCTTAAGCAATTCTCTTGCCTCAGCCTCTCAAGTAGCTGGGAATACAGGTGCCCTCCACAACACCCAGCTATTTTTTGTTGCAGTTGTCATTGTTGTTCAGCAGGCCTGGGCTGGGTTAGAACCCACCAGCCTC